CAAGATTGTAATTGATCATTGACCTTTTAATTGTCCTTTGGTAGATATATTGCTTGCAAAATCAACATTTTGTAAACTTAAATAATGCATTTTGGTTTAATTTAGAAATTAAGGAAAATTACAATAACGGTTTGAGGAGAAATATATGTAGGCACCCTTATTTTTTTAACCAGCTTTTGTGCACGGTTGACCGCAAGGGCTAGCCGCAGGACAGGTAAACGAAAGGGTTTCTCTGATAGTATATACGTGTGTTGAAGCAGCACACAGCGGTGATCGTCACAGAGATTACCGATAGGAAAACAATTGAAATTTGACAAATGACTTTTTCGGATTGTCGGGTGGTCAGAACGATACGAATGACAAATGATGTAAAGACACTTTGGTCTCTTTGATTCTTTAAAAAATAACGTGGACCACCTATCCCGTACGAGAGCGACCGTGTTCAAAACTATTAATATTGCTGTCTTGTCAAGTTCGATTTCTCTTCGATAGCTTTGTATTGATACGTCAATGATATTATACGTATGTCCTATAGCGTCATATCAGGTAGTATGTGTAACGTAAATCCTCGCTGTATAGATTATTTTTATTCCAAACAAATCTTAATTCTTGATGGCATTTTTGAGATCAAGTAGAGAAACCAAATTTGTTGGCAGGTGAAAGCATTTTTATTTTGAGGTCAAAAAAGTAGAAAACCAAAAAGCCCTCGATCAACTATGCAAGCAAAAGATGATTTTGATTTGTCAAACAGATTAATTTTCAACCAAACAGATTTGGTTGATAGAAACTTTAATATGGCAATAAAAAATTTCAAATTAATTAACAAAGTATACCTTATAGCAGTCTATTTTCTTATCGATCAATTTTGGCATAGAATTCCGGCAGGATTGTATGCTTCAATGATCAATGCGGCATGATTAGCGCTAGACATGGGTTCCATTCAAATAATCTCTTTTTTATAACAAATTATTAATTAAAGAAGAACCAGAACAATAGAAACAATGGATAGGGGCAGGTGACTGAGGTTGTAATGTAAAGGTCCGGTCTACTCGGAATTTTATCGATCTGCTGATCAAGCTAAATAATATTTTAACTAACAAATCGTTATATTGAATAATTAAACTAAACTGAAAATACATAAATAATGATAATTGATTTGTGTTCCCATAGCCCTTTGGTTTGTAACGTCAATAAATGCTGGTGACATATTTTTTTATTTGTTTTTTTAAATCAAAAATTTGTCTACTTAGGATGATTATCGCAAAACCATTTATGTACTTATAGAATAAAAGCCAAAACTCATTTATCAGCAATACAACATAGTCTCGACAACTTATCAGCACTTCACCACCTCCTTTTTCTTAGTACATGCACTTTAAACGTGAGAAAACTCATTTAACATCATCATTATCATAGCTTTAATAACTCTATCCAAAATTTGACATGTACAGATATCTTGTATAAGTACCTACTGATCAATTATATTGATATTCTGCATTAGAATTATCAGGAAACCCTGATTTATCAAAATTACGTCGGATGGGATTCAATTTGTTGAATTTGTTGAATTCAAACGTATAGATATTAACATCTTGAGATACTAACATACGTATGCATTGATAATATAAAATTTAAAATGGCTACAGGTATAAGGTTACTATCGACGAATATAGTTTTTGTTTTATTTTTTTTGCTTTTTTTTTAAATCATCATTGTGGTCCGGTTCTGTTCCATCAGAAGATCAAGCGTGACTTAAAAAGAGAATCTAACCCGTCGACATAATCAACGCTGACCAATCGTAAAGAACTTTTCAACAAGCCGATCACAACAGGCCTCTGAACCCTGACAGCGATAATATATGGATGTATTACAAGCCTCCAGCTCTGTCGGTCATTTTCATAAAAATTTTCATTATCATTAAATTCAGATGTACGTAAGTACAGCGTTGATTCGTAGTGTTTATTCATTGACAACGACTTAATCAAACTCATTTAAATTTATAAATCAACACCTTATTTAATAAATCGGTGTTTTGTTCTCTTAAATAAGTGTTATGTTCTACAGTGCAGCAGCAATAGCTGGAGACGGAAGAGTACGATGCGAAATGGTCTATACCATTTGAAGATTGTGCTGGTCACGTCTAGAGTTATTCTTGTCGCACTGTATGTACGTAATACATCAGAAATTCTCATGAAATAAAAAAATTGATGCAAGAAATAGTAGCTTTAGGATGTAAGTTGATGAAAGTGCAGATTATTCCAGACGTTATTCCAGAGTTTAATTTATTGTTATTTACAGTAATTAATCTAAGATAATGTCAAAATTAATGGCTACAGCTTATACCTACTTCTTTTTTATAATGTTATTAGGTATTGATGTAAAACATTGTTATATATTTCCTTCTGAAATTTCCGTTTCTACCCGCTAATGAGCCCATCAGCATATAGCTAGGTATGCGGTAACATGATAAATGATAGTTCTTAATAGTATTCTCTTCTTTCTGTATTGTTAGGATGGTCCGTCAGTCCTGTCGGCCTTATTCGATTCGGATTGGGCAAAGGCTCAAACGGCGCAACGCAACTTTTCAATGATGCTGTTTAATGCTCGCCGCCTAGCTCTCTTAACTTTAATCAGGCAAAACCGAAAGGCGAAGAATGAAGAAAGACCCCTTGAGTTGTCAAGGAAAAGGCAGACACGCCTGTACACCTATCGAAGATAAATCATTATAGAATCGTATTAGAACACATTAATGTTCCGCAAGATCAAATAAAATTTTAATTTCGGTTCACAAGCCGGCTATGACATCAGTGGTGTGTGCAGTCAACGTGACATTAAACACATTTTTACTGTTTGACCAAGACTTAATTACAATAATTTCTGAACTATGTACCTCTATTAGAAATTATTTATTCAAAACATTTACACAAAAATTATATGTGAACTAAGCAGTACATCTATAACATTTCAAATTAGAATAAAATCTGTATGTGCATATAAAGTTCTGATCATTTTTGTTTTAGTCAGATATTTAATAAAAATTTAATTGGCGATGGCTGATTAAGAAGGTAATACAGGTTCAAGTAATGAGAACATATCTATAGTGATATTAATGTTCGGTGTGCGCATATTTTAATTATTCAGTATTTTTTACTTTGTGTAGATAATAATTAATATACGGCATTAATATAGTTTTAATTATAAATTGATATTAGATATTACATTGTGCTTTTGAAATTACAAAATTTGCATATTACGTATACAGGTAACGCATTCTCTATGTATATAAGGTACCTATAACAATTATCGTTTACATATGTACTATGTACCTACTCTTATTTATTGTTTTTATTTTAATTAATGATTGTTACTGATACGTTAAATAGAAGACTAATGAAACGAGATAAATCGAAACAAAACAACACCTACTTTTGTATTCTAATTAACAACATATACCCACTATAATCACTATAGAAATTAAATCAGTGGCGTTTGAAGTACGCGAGTAGGTACCTACGTTAAATTCCTTCACAAACGTACGTTTTAAATTAAATTGGCGTATTTTCAACTTTAAATGAGCTCAATATTGTTTAAATCAAGTTGATAGTCCTGTGAAACAAACATTAAATTTGTGCTATAACATGGTCCCGCAGTGAAAGAGATTGTCACATTGCATATTTTTTTGTTATTGTAGTAGGTATTCTAAATCAGTCGTTGAAAGTTTAAAAATTGATTTTAAAAATATGAAACTTATTAAAAATAAGCGTCAGCATGCAGGGTTTCAGTATTATGCAAAAACTATGTCAAATTTGTTCACTGAAGATTACAAATTTAATATTACACTAATTACTGTACTCTTAAAATGTATGCGTTTTGCTGTATAATCGTAAACTTATAATAAGCCTATATTGATCTACTTTTTTTACAAGAAACAAAAACCACGCTGATGCTTTTGAAGTTGAGTTTAGTACGTGATAAATATTTAATAGGCACCTATATTTTCTTTATATACAATGAAAAAATTGCACGCCACTGATTTTAATCACGACTTGACATGAAATAAAAAAAAAACTGGCGGACCAAGAGAGGCATGCATTACACGACTCGGAGACTCGACTATCCCGCTGGTATACAAGATGGCGAACCACGGACCACTTAGCGGGAGTTTAGGAGTGGTCCTCGCTCCTCGATAACGTTCTATGCTCTGCCTTCGGCCTCTACCCCCCTTCTGCTTTCCTCCTCTTTGGCTCTTTTGCCTCTACCCATTGTCTTTGTCGCTCCTCCCAATCCGACTAATGTACGACTGTCGGCTTTTTATGCTTGGAGTTCGTACCGGCGCTGTGCCGCCTGTGCCGTTCGATGCGGCTTCCACTATTCGAGCTTTGAACTTTTCATATTACATTCTTCTTGGGACCTATGTAACAGTCGGCCTTTATCGTTCACTGCGTTTAATTAACATTCTCTTTAATGTCTCGAAACTTTTCTTTTACAACATTTCTAATTATGTGCCTACTCCTAAATTGCTTTTTAACCATGTTAGACAACGGAGATTTCCTATTAATTAAACAATTGTTGCTATACTTAAATGTACCTACCTGAAGCCAATTTAATAAATAATAAAATAATTATTTCTTTTTATGGATAGATTAACTCCATTAAATTGTTCTCATATCTCGATGCATTGCGTATCTATCGTATAAGTACGCCTGTTTTAATATATCCAATACTAGATTAAAAATGTAGATTAACTTGAGCCATACTGCATTTTTATTACAAGAGAAATAAAACATTATAAATATTTAATACACAGGAAATATGTTATTTCTTATCAAGGTAACAAATAACAATATTATAAGACTCATCTATAACCGTGATATACGTTGCGATGTAGATTCTATATGGATTGTTATAGGTATTCTGAAATGATCGGATCAGGCATTATTTCACAAAAAATTAAATAGTATAATATGTATTATTAATTTCTGTTATTTTCTGTTTTAAAGGATATGGATTTAATCGAAGTGCTTTGGAAGCAAGATGTCGATCTTGGTTTCACAGTTGACAACATCAAACCAGAAAAAGAAGACATTAAAACTGAACCCGATGAAAAGGTCACACCAGTCAGTGCTGCAGACAAAGATGATATTGAAAAGTTGAAAACACTTCAAGCTATTAATGATGATTCAATCAAGGTGTGTAGAAACTTTTAAATGTAATTTTTTGCACGATACTCATATATAAAACACAAAAAAGTTATTATAAAAGGAAATCGTTAATTTTTAGAAGCATTCCACCTAGATAAACATCATATATGAGTAGATTTTATAATAAAGTACATACTTACCGAATATAATTTACTTGTATGTCTCTATTAATGCAGTCACAATTCACATAAATCAAATCTTTCGTTTATAAGTATGTATTACTTATTTATTATTATAAGGTTCATTTCCAAATGAATTTTTTATATTTTATTGGAAGGATGATTTTAAATAAAATTTTAATTGCGGTTTCTTTTTAAAGCAAGAGAAAGAAGAAGATCCTTGGTCCGGTTTCGACTATACCATCGATACAGAAACAGGTAAGCAATTATTTATTTCTTTAAATAATTAAAAATGCGAAAAGCGTTGAAAAAATATGTATAGTTTCAAATTTTTCCTCGGGACACCACTGGCGTTGTGCAAGTTTGTAAAAATGGAAATGTAAACGGAATCTCCTGCAAGCTAGTATGACTTTTCAGAGTTCGGTATTTTTCTAGGGCTCATGATGATAGATACAGTAAACAATACAAACAGAAATCATTCAGTGGCTGTAGCTGACCAGCCATTTTTACATTTATGGGGACACCTTGCTAGACTTTATGCAGACGAGAATGACTGTTGTTTTCTTCACCTCGACCTAGCCACTATTTCTCTTTAAATGTGTCTTTTAACACTTGCACTTAAATTGCTTTCAATGACTCTTCACTCTTTATACCAAATCGATAACAGCAAAAATACGGGTCTGATAATAATAATTAACTGTTGAAGGTGTCATGATTTTGTATTTAAACATGTGCATTTCAATTATTATACCTACATATGCAAAAAAACTGTAAATTGATTATAACTAACTTTGTTTTATTGGCAGTTGAAAACAAATTATTTTAAAATTTAGGTGGATTATATAGAACAAATTTTTAATAAAATTATAATTTTCCTCTATAATTAGCTTTACGTTTCGGTGAGATTGTTTAAAGGCGGTACATATTATATGATCTCATAATAAAGAATTATTTTAAATTAAGTAATTCCCCGACAGCTGCTTCCAAGAAGCTTGCAGTTGTTTTCTACCAGACTCCATGACATGGCAACTTTATTTCAGGATATTTCTTTTACCTTTTCATTGGTTTTTTTGGTATGCTTTACAGCTCTAATCTATATAATATACAGTACGAACAAGAATTAAAAAAAATATAAAGGAAACTTTGAAATTAGCAATTTATTTGGCAACATCTATTGTTTAGATCGATTTATTAATCATTGAAAATTTGGTGTAACTTATGGTAAGGTTCGGTGTTCGGTTAATAATTGATTTGAAATCCTCCAAATTCCAATTCGAAATAATATAAATATAAATACTTTCCTTAAGTATTTTACCTATACTTAACTACCCGATATGAATTTTGGTATTTGTGGTTTGATATTGTATAGCCTATCGATATTAATTACAATCGATATGTAAAACAAAAATTTTGGTGACTTTGTATCAATAAAAATCTTATATAGGCTCCAATAGGCATTCCAGTGCATCGGTGTGTTATCATAAGTATCTTATTCAAAGATCCCAACAATATAAATTTAGATAGGTCTAACCTGTCTTGAGTGCTTAACAATAACACCTTTTCTTTATTCGAGAGTTGAGTTAATCCAGTGAAGAGTGGATGGTACAGAACAAAGGTGTTCTCAGTTATGCACTTGATGTCTTCGAATTTTGAAGATCCACAAACTTTTTTTTAAATAAATAATTAGTTGAATATTCAATGCGACTTTCAGAATTTGTAATGAATGGGAGATCTTGAGTGGGTGATGTTCGTGACAACTTTATTAAGGGTGTTCCCTTTAACTATTGACACTGACGTTGATATGTGTACCTCCTTTAGGTTTTGTTATTTTTTAATAAATATAGGAATTTTCGGAATATATTTTCAATTGAGCTTTTTTTATTGATTATTTTAGAATTTCACGAAGTGTTCACCATATCGTTGAACCTAATGTATAGCATGAAACTTATAGAAACCCCCCTAAAACTCACCCCTATATAATATTAAGATAAAATATGCCCTGTCGTTTATTTCTCCATTGCTTAGAATTCGTGACTAATGATTCCAAATGACGTAAGCAACACATTGTATTCAAAATTTCATACTGAATGGAAGTTTGAACTATTCTTACAGAAATTGCGTGCACAAAGAAATGATATCTCTTCATTACAGTAATAGAATGCCTCCATTAAAACATAAATATATCAAAAAAATTGGAGCAAATTTTTAATAAATTAGTTTTCCTTTTAACGGAAGTTAAATATGCTCTTTAAATTAGTTCATAATGAACCCTCACACCAGAGTTGATAGGTAAATTTTGTTGTATTGACGGTTATATTAAGAAATTATAATTCTATGTAGATTTTCTCTTAACGGTACTTAAATTCTGCTGTAAACGTAGCCTCTTCTTTTTTATTTTATTTTCATTGTTTTGTTAAAATTTTAGAGTTGGCTAAACTGCAATTAATTATTGTCATTATGTCAATTTTAGGGGTTATGTTTATATTTCATTACTCATTTGAGTTGATCTGAAAAATTAAATATTAAAAAAAAAGTTAAAATAAGTAAAATAATGATGGAAGAATAAACATTGATGATGAATTAGTTACAAGTAGAAATGCATTTTGATAATAAGAAGTTAGAAGAAGAGTTAATAAATTCAATTCAATTCAATGTGATAGGGATGTACAAACTAATATACAATATTAAATGATTTTTATACTTGTTTAATTTGTTATTTACAATAATAGTGTATTAATAATTTACCTTTTATTTGAATGAACAGTTTTTTTAGTATCTACTACTTCATAGTATAGTATGATTTAAAATGAAAACTTTGTGAAATTAGATTTCTTTTTCTTTTTTAGTTATAAAATCTATTAAAAATTAGTTTCTCCAAGTCGATATTCAACTTTACATGGTATTTAGCAGAACCTTCCAACTGATGTTACCTACTCGATGACTTGTGTATTCTAAGGTTGATCCCAAAGTTTTTTTCGAAGATCCCCTACCATTGTTTTGAGTCAATTATAAGTTGAATTCACAAAAACCCCAGAGGTAGACTAACATATTTTATAAATGTTACAACGGTATGTTATAATCTAACTTAGTTAAGGTTGTACGATCGAAGAGAAGTAGAAAAATCAGCCCCTCGTACTATATCAGCCCCCAGTCTGTAATCTAGTTCCCTTCTCTGGCCCCCTATTGTCTGAGTGGCAGCCATATTAGCTCGGACTGCTTTGCTGCCTTTATTCTGATTGGCTTTGCTGGTTTTCAGATATTTCACGCAGAGTAAAAGTTCAGTCGAATCCAAGCACCTGTGTATCAAATGTGCTCCGTGCTGTTAGATACCTTGTGAGTGAATATAGTGACTTTGGTGGATTATATTTTTGTGTAAAGGTTGTTTTTGAGTTCTTTTTTAACCGAGTTTGGATAAAAGTTCAAAATAAGAATTGAGGTATGTCTTTGCCTAGAATTCAGAGATTTACTTATTTCCTTACCTATTTTTCCGAACATCATTAAGAAGTAACAATAGATTCTATGAAATATTAATCATTTTTGGTGCACATTTTGAATGTCAAAAATTTTACTTTTATATATTTCTATGATTAATGATTGGAAGGTATACTCCAGGGAACGAACCATGACTTTACAAAATAATTTTCATTTTGAATAATGGTAATAATTTTGAATTCCTGGCTGGATCAAATGGGATTTTCGGTCCCAAGAGATTATTATAGGACCTTCTATACAAAATTTATGCAGCCGTTTTTTTGTTATCATGTACTTTCACAAAAATTCATTGATAATATTCATTTTAATCATCTTAAAACAGTAGATATTAACTTAATTCTAATTTTTATTGCAATTTCTGGAACTAACAACAAGAATAAAATTACTTTAATTGAAGCTACTGCATCAGTCTGTACAATATTTGAAACAGAAACAATATTCTGTTTAATTTGCCTTTCATTCCATTTATATTTCATTAAAACCCTAACGAATTGATCATTTCAGTGTTATTTAAGCATACAAAAATATTTTGCAAACAAATTAATGATCATTGCAACTGCGATTTGTTATAAATTTGATCTACATATATATTTGAGTGACATAATTAAAAAAAATTACTTCAGTTACTTCAATTTCCTTTATTTATTTAAAAAAAAGTATAAGTCAAAGAAAAACTCATTTTTTAATGATTTATGTATTATATCTTTGTTTAAGAACGCCAATATAACATATACATATTGCAAATCTCTTAATATTAAATTGTAACCATCTAATTACAATCCAGTACATGCATATGTATATTATTGTGCTCATAAAACATAAATGTAAAAGGTTTTAGTATCCATAATTTGATTTTTTAATGATTTATTTCATGTATCTTTGTTTAAGAACAATGAGTCAACATAACAATCATAATTAACGTATCACCAATATAACAGTTTGCAAATCTCTTAATATTAATCTCTTAATATAAGAATTTATTCTTCATGAGTAACCATCTAATTACAATCCAGTAATCCAGTACAAATATATATTATAAAATGGAATCATAAACCATATAAATGCAAAAAGTTTTAGTTTCCATAATTTTTTTAATGATTTATTTATTATATCTTTGTTTAAGAACATAACAATCATAACTATCAACAATATAATAAATTGAAAATCTGTTAATATTAAATGCTTCATAATTAACCAGCTAATTACAATCCAATAATCAAGTAGGTACATATGTATATTATAGGGTTCATATAAAACGGACAATGTATACTTTCCATAATTTGTCGTTCAAGTAAATTGATTAAACCAACCGAAAAGTAATCTTCAAGGTTTTTTTTTCGATAATTTCTCGGTAACCTTTTAACATAATAGAAATTCCAACAAATTTTCAATATTGTTTACGAAAACAATTTTTTGTAGTGCTCAAGCTACGCCATAAATAAATAATACTAATTAAAATTGGTTTCTGTAAGTACTCTCCTAAATGCAGCAAAAAAATGTACTCTAATTGTTTTTGTTCCGTCTTGTTATTTTAATGTATAGATCGCAGGTTAATCGGCGAATTGTTTAAAACCGTATCGGGTAGATCTTAAACGTCTGTTCTAAGAAGCTGTTAAGTTGAAGCAAAATTTAAAAGCCACGGAATCAAAAGTGGCGAAGTGGCACTTCTTGAGACTTTCCTATAGATTTATATCTTGAATGGCGTTAGTCGGTAATTTTAAATTTCAAGTGGGTCCTTTTGTAATCTTGTTGACAGGCATTTTTTTCTTTTTCTCTTATTAATTTGACACTTCGCTTCAGTAGAAGGTACCGATTACCTACCCTTAAATTAGTGACAATTTTCGGAACTAGTTAATTGAGGCAAGTTTTAATTTTTGGAAGAGAGTTTTCTAGAACTCATATTCACTAGTACCATTTTTTTTAAATAGAAGTATTTCAAAAAATTAGTAGGTGTTCATTGGTTTGTGCACTAGACTAGTTGATAAGTTTAACCACAATTCGTGGAATATTCGTTGATATCTCATTTTTATAAAGCAACACTAATATCTTTCCTTTTCATATTTTATTAATTTTTGTCCGTAATGTACAGATACTTTCAACACTTAGCTGGTTGGAGATAGTTTATGCTGGCTTACCTAATTGCAATTGCTTGAAATCATTAATCATAATTAAACTATATTGGTGTTATTATCTATAGCCAGAGTCAAATTGAAATGAGTTTTCATTCTAGAAAAGTCGTCTAACCGTTATTTTCGCCTGGTGATAGAAATACATTAAATGTGTGCTTACTATAGTTTTTGCATCTTGCTTGATTAAAAAGTAATATTTACCTACATAAGAATCTAAAATGAAGTGAGTAATAATATAGAATGAAGTGTATTTACACTAAAAAGCATAACGATTTTACAAAGAGCAGATAAATGTTCAAGCGTTGCTTTTAGAACTTGAAAACACTATAAATGAAAATCATCTGAAAAATTGCTTTATAATTTGTAGGTAATTATTAATTATGAAATATTAATTTATTAAACCCAACAAACTCAAAGCAACAACGTTATTGTCTTCACTAATTGTTGAAATATTTTCTTAAAAGACAAAACTCCCATTGGCTCATTAGAACGCATCCAAAAATGTACAATGTCATCATTATAACGTACAATTCTTGTGTGAACTTTTAGAGGACGTTTCGTTTCAAGTTTGTTCAATTTATTTGGAGAAAATTCCTCACACGCGTAATGAAACAAAATGGCTCACTGTTCGCCCTATATTATTAACTAACCGCCATGCAGCCATTTTTTTATTGAGACCATAATAGGTAGGAATTACCGTACAAATTCTGACATTTCAGCCAATCGAATGGCAGTTATAAGAGTGCGGCCGACCGGAGCCCGGAGCGTAGCGTGGGGGTTGGCCTGAAAGACCGGGCCCCAGCCCCAGGTAGACGGTTCTCTAGTTTCAAATTTATAGCTTCATCGAGGACATTCGAATTGTATGTTTACCCTAGTTTGTTGTTAACTTTGTGCTTGTGGACTCTCGTTTGTTGTGAATGGCGAATATGTGTTCCTGTTTGGATTACAGTTTGATTTTCGTTGATTGTTTTTGGTTTGTGATTAATTAAGTGCGAGTGTTGAAAGGACAACGTAGCTTAAAGGTATATAAAAAATTATTAGGTTGTTATCTTGATTAAGAATCTAGTGTACAAAAATCTCATCTATATTACCTATAAGAGAAAGTTTAGGAGATACAATCTCTTTTATTTATTTTAATGAGGCAATTCTGTCTTTATGATCACGTTTTAATTTCGTTAAGTTTTTCTTTTGGTATCACCAATGAATCGAATAAAATTGGTAAATAATTATCCTCAATCATGAATAAAGTTCTTTTTCAGAGTCATGAAAGGATTAGTTATAAATAATAATACTTCGTTAAGCCTTCGTTAAAACTATTTTTTTGCAAATGGGTTATTTGCTATCAAACCAAAGTAATCTACATTTTATATAGTCACTTGTGACAGTGCTAAGAAACTAATGGTAGTAACATCTGGTTGAAGAGTATCTCATTTGGTATTTTTACCTCCAATCAATAAATTCATCAAATTTATACATTATAGTTCCACCTTTAATCCTGGTATAAGTACTCGTATTTCTATTAAATTTAAATAAATTGATCACACTGTAATAACATCTTTCAATCAAAACATTCATTTGTAATCACGTTTGTCGATGTTATCTTTTATCAAAAAATTTACCTAGAAACATCACGTTGAACCTTGAGCATACAGAAAATAGTTAACATAGCTAAAATATTGGTTTAATTAAAACTTGGGCATAACTAATTAGTATACAAACAATCCAATCGATTCAATTACTGGATTACAAATATTGTATTTACAATTTTGTAACAATCGGTAGACGATCTTAAGAATGATATTAAAATATGTGATTAATGTAAATGTATCACTAGGTTGTGCAGTAAATGTTTAAAGTTAATATGGGATCATTCCTCTTCGCTATCGTTAAATAGATTCGTCTGCATTTTATTCTTTTTCTGATAATAAAAGAAACTTCCCCGTTGCTGTTATTTCCTTTTTTTGTTTACGTACAAAGAGAAAATGCATGGGTGGTCGTATATTTTTTCTTATTTTCCTATTTGGTTAATTTGCCAATCTGTCCTTATTTTATTTCTGTGTCTCTAATTTTTCTTGTATTATTATCATTCTCTATTTCCATGATTTTACTAAGAACACATTTTGGAAGCATTTTTTCATTAGGTTATTAAATTCATTGGGCATTTCTATGTTTTTTATTAAAAAATGAAATGCAATATGTTTCATAGTTAAAACGATAAAAGTTTAATTTATTTTATAATACCTGCATCGTTGTTCTCCCCACGAATAGTTAGTTCTGTACAATTTACCTTGTTGTTAGAAGAATGTCTGACACACCAATTTGCGATAGATTGTAATATGTAATTCACGTTTTTTGATAAAATATATACACGACTCTTCTGAAGTAGGCGCTAGTCGGAACTCTTATGATTTAATATTTTTTACTATCAACTATTAAAGGTGAATCATATTCGTAGTAAGTCTTAATTAATTACGATATCTCAAACTTATAGTGGTTCAATAGCCGCGCTTTTTTTCAATCAGTTCTTGTACTTCTGTGCTCGTTAGTGCATTGAAAATCATATCATGATAGTTCATGGCTGCTTTCATAAAAATGAAGCTATACGGATTAAAATTTGACACCGATGAATTTGAGCAACAATACGGTATGTCAAACACGCAATTTGCTATTATGGGAAACATACATAGAAACCCTAATATCAATAAGCATTTTTATACTACACGTTTCAACATTTTTTAATTAAATTGAAGTGAATTTGTAGTAAAAAAAAGTATACTGAAATGATTTTCTGTTTGTCACAAAATTGATCTTAAACTGTTATTTTATTAGAGTGTGTGGTACCTACATTTTGAAAAATACAATAAAACCTTTAAATAGGTTCGTTTCCTTGTTTACTGCTTAATACTTGCAACCTTAAAGTGAAGTTACTTTTTTAATTCTCCCAGCTAGCAGATTAATATTTCTGTAATAATATTATGTCTAATTTAAGCTGATTGATGTTATAAAAAGTCTAATTATTATATTACCATTCCAGGAGAATATGTGATAAAAACAGAAGTCGATTCGGAACATAGCGGAGAAGAAGTTAGCAACCCTGTTGATCTTGGTCTTGAAGATTTCACCTTACCATTACCGGAGTTTTTCCTTGATGAGGCATTACGTCTAATCGATTTAGAAGATGAAACGTCACAGGTAGGAGCACGTTTTCATCAATCATACAACAAATCGCTATCTTAGTTCTTTCTTACCCAGGAAAATTCTGTAAATCTTAAGGAGTTAGATAGTCTCCAAAGCGAAGCAGGCAGCCCGTCGGTGGCATCAGCTGCAGCCGAAGCAGAAGCTGCCAGTAAAACTGATGACACCTCTCCTCCCGAGGAAGCACTTCATAAAGACGACCAAGACGACGAATTCGATTTCCTGAACATGATTCAAACGCCGCAATTTCATCACCCGCATCACAGGGCTCCGTTTCAGGTAGGACTTTTTTAATCGACTTTACTCTACACATTTAATTGTTAATTCTAATATCGCGTCATCTATGTTTCAAGAGATTTGGGACGTAATCCGCTCGTTAATATTTTAATCTCTTGGAGAGTTTAGTTTGCTTACCTACACGGTATAGATGACAAATCCATTTAACCATTCTGTTTGATAAACATCTTTGAATAACTCATTTTCCTACATCTCTCATACAATTGATCAATTAAAGTAATTAAAAAATGTTACGGTGGCTAATTTAACTACAGTTAATGTGTAAATTGTTGGAATTAGCATGCCTAACAATAATAAACGATCTAATAAGGATAAAGTTTAAAAAATGAAGTGCAATTATTACAGTAATATTTTAACAAAAAGCTATTAAATATATTACTATAGTACGGGCGTTTGAAAGTGTGTTTATTAAATTTATAACATTCTCGAATATTTTCTGTAGTCAGAAATTGGGTGGTAACAAAAGTCAATTCCCTTAAGTAATTCCATGTTTGTAACGGAACGGCAAAAAGCAAAAGGTCCTAATGGGATTATTTTCGGACTAGGGCTATTCACTATTCATATTTAAAGTAAAGTTTTATTGTGACAAATGATTTGCGGTGGCTTAGGTAGTAGTTGCTTTGTGTTTTGTGGGCTTCTCTTGTCAAATTATCATCATGTAAGATTTGAGGTGCCATCATCGAAAGCATTAATCTTTTTTGTTAGAATACCTTCGGGTACCTGTTCTCTGTTTTCGAAATTTTGGTTTTCATTGATTTTTTGAAGTAACGTAGGGAGTCTGAGGGTTTGGAAGGATTATCATTACCCTAAATTGTAAATATTTGCAAGTTTAATCCTTAGAATTTTGAGATTTTATAGCTAGTGTGTACATTTAACTGCAAATATACACTGAATAAATATACTATAAAATGAGACTAATTTTGAGAACACGTTTTAAACACTGTAATTGCTCTTAAATGTTCACAAACTCTCATGGATAGGTACTACCGAGACTAGTACTAGGTAAATAATTAGGCTTTTTAAGAAGATAATTAACTTTCTTTGGTCAGATAAATGACTCTTCTAGCTTGATAATCGACTCACTTGTGATAAGTACATAAATGAAGCTCCTTGAGAGAAAAAATTTAAAAACGGTCATTAAGTATAAATAGTTATGGTGGCAAAATGGAAAACTGATTATCTAATCTAATCCGTGTTATACAAAGCAATTTCATTGTGCCTATCGGAAAAGATAAGAAAATTAATAATTAGGTTTATTTTTTATTCATCTGGAAATGCATGAATCATAATTTTGACTGAGTTTTAACACTTTCAGTACATGAATTTTAACTAGATGGTTAATTAAACTTTCAATTTCTTCTGTTAAGTAATTATCCTTTGTCAATTTTATCTTTATTATTACTACTGTATTCTAGACACAAACATATTACTCTATGAAAACATTGGATTTCTATTTAACGATCAGAAATTTAACAGTGTTAGAGAATTGTAAACAACCACCACATAATTAACGAATTAGCCAAATGTCACTAAATATTTATTATGAAATAATTTGCAAGTAAAACAGTCGAATGGTCTAAAATAAACAGAACGGTGTCTATAAGTTGTTTGCAGTCTCGGAAAGCACTTGAAATGACAGGTAAAGCGGGTTGGGTGATTTTTGTCAATGAATATTCGCGGCAGGACATCCTCATAATGCGATAAGATGCCTTCCCACGAAAATATGCGGCCTGAACTGAATAAATGTTGTGTAAACACAAACAAACTGATGTCTCCAAGAAGTTATAATAACTTATTTTGACCCACGAGTCTCTTGGAATAAATTTGAAACCTAAAAAAAACAAGATTTATTTTTTAGAATTAATCCATTGGAAGAAAGTTTATCAATAATTATGTCATTACTCTTTATATTTTTATAATGTAGATATAACAGGTATAACGCAACTTTCATTATACCGGTGTTAACAAAGTACTAATTCGTTTTATACAAAGATTGCAATGATTAGAATATGTTTTGCAATCTCGATGTCTTTTTAATGCAAGAACTAATTTTATGGGACAATAAAAAAATAATTAGATTTCTAAAATGGATTAATAAAAGAAGTAACGTATTTTGAAAAAAAAAATGCATTCATTATTATCAACGTTGTTCATCTATTTATATCTAAGCAATTTTTGCTTTTTGTTACCTATTATTTAGTTTTGCGAAAGTTTGATTTTCTATTCACTACTACTTGTTAAGTTTCGTGCACTAAAATGATGAAACTTTTTTCAAAATAATATTTTGTTACAGTCTCGTATGCCATTCGTTCGGACGATGAGCATGGAGCAGAGATGGCAAGACCTGGCTAGTCTCCTCAGTCTTCCCAGTCACGAAAACGGAGGCATACACCACCCGTTTAGTCACCACCACCATGCTTTGCACAATTACACGCACCACCCGCACCCACATAGCATGGGCTACAGTCCGGAAGCGGCACGTGGGGTGCTCCTTCACAACGCCACCTTGCCAACACCCATTGGCGACTTGAATTCATCTGTGCCATACAATAATTTAGGTGAGTGGATTTGATGGTTGTTTAGGAAACATTGTAGTAGAATTTTGCATGGTACAATGTTGAGAATTTTTAGTCTGCGAGGGAACAAATCTTATTTAGATCGCAGGTTTTTAATTCATACTGTAATGCGTTCCTTGATACTTTTTTTCTGTTCAATTTAACACCTCGCGTACATCTTCAGTATTTTGATTATTTACAAATTTTAAGGCATTGAGTTTTTTGTTCGCATTCGGCGAGGAATCGGATGCGCTTGTACGATTTAATGGAGAATCCATTAGAAGTTACCTATTATTAAATACTTTCTTAAATTCAAAATCAATTATACTCCTCTAAGTAATTACACACCAAAACGGGTTTAAAGATATTTATTGTAAAATTTTTTCTATCGATCTCGCAATTGAGTAATTTTACTGATGTCTTTTTTATAAAATCAACATCTGCTCAAAGAGTTTGGTAAATTGCACTACAGTAATATAATTAGACATTTTTTTTTTGAGAAATTGGCAATAAACATCAAAAATTCCGTTGGTAAAGCTAATACGAGGTGCGACCAGAAAGTAAGTTTCGTTTAGTAAGAGATATGGAAAAAATATTTTTTGTACAAGCGTCTACGATTCTTAAGCTACATTTCTACATATGTCCCAAAATGTTTCGGGTATTTTTCATAGCGTGGCATAAGTTTTTTTATGCCATCCTCGTAGTGTTTTCAATTTTTCGCGGCAACGCATGATTTTCCACTATTGTTCAGTTGAAGTAAAGATGAACGAAACCGAACGTACGAAGTACGAAATTGTTACTGAAGAAGCGAAAACACATTCGGCAACCTTCCGTTCATACAAAACCTGCTACCACTTTCTGGAAAATGCCAGGAAAAATTCGAGACCTATGTAGAAATCGTAACTTAAGAATCGTAGATTATTGTGCAATATTTTTTTACATGATCTTTACATGATTTTGTGAGATTACTAAACGGATCTTACTCTCTGTACGCACCTAGTTTGTCATTCGGAAGCTTCACTTCATTTTTTTCTGTTCAATTAAATTTAAGTAGGTTAACACATTTAAGTAGGTAATTCATTTTCACAGCCCGTAAACACCCGACTTATGGGGTATGGGCCTCATCTTTACACAAGGTGTATGACTATAATCTTCCCCGTTGGCCTGAAGGCGGATCGGAAGATGAGGACTGCAATGGTTAGACTAAATTATTATTAGTAGCACGATTATTATAAAATATATATTAGTAGAATTAACAAATATCTCTTCGATATTAAATAACATCTCGCTCGTATCTCAATAATTTATGAACAACATTTTCACCATTCCCGACCACAGTTTATTATTCTAATTTATTTTATGACGTTAAAGAATTCATTCATGACATCACTTATTCGAATTTAAAGCAATTGCAACAAACCCGACCTATAAAAAAATAGTAAAAAATTATAGCATTAAGTACGGTGAGATTAAAAAACTCGCAACGCCCCAGATTGGTTTTAATCTTGTAAAAAGGTACAAGTAATTATGAACTCAATAGGTGGTACAAATTTTGGGAGCGCCGTGGCGAGTTCCATGAACCTGACGAACAGCAGCGAGCCAATGGGAGAATCTTCGAGCACACCCCATTACAAACTGGAACCTTCACACGACATGGTCTATTACCAGGTAAGCTTATTATTAAGGCTTAATGGTCGAATGAATGCCGCTCCTTTATATCTTGAATATTTTTTAACCGAAATTCATGTTTACAATCTGAGGAAATTATCTTTCTTAAAAGATAATTGTTTAAATTCTAAATACTTGTAGATTGCAAGAAGCAGGAAAATTCATAATAGCTTTCTGAAATTAGCGGTTCTTCTATCGTATTCTCATACAGTTTATTTTTTCTACTTCTTAGATGATTTTGATGGGTTTTTTCATAATTTCAAGTGCTTAAATGTAAGTTTTGTATATCAAAAGTAGATCTACAGGTGAACCGTAATAATTGCAGGAAATTAGTTAAATTGATGTAGATTGTAAAAGCCAGATGATCGTGATAGAAACGCGCTTGCATTCTTCACTTTTTTTATTTAATTATAATTCTTTCGTATAGCTTTCAACATTTATATTTTTGCCGACGAAGAGAGCTTTTGCTCACATTGATGTAATTAATTTAATACATATGTAAATTAGATTCAGTTCATATCTTCTTTGGTGGTCACTTTGATTTCTACAATCTATATAATTAGAAATAGACTCGTTTTCCCTATAGGATGAGCATTTCCTATAGGAGCAACATCAATCTAAAATTGTATATCATAGAGATGTTATAAAAAAAGAAAGTTAATAGTGAAATTTTGAACTAATATCTTAATTTTGAATGAATACCAAATCGAGAAAATATAATATTTTCGACTAATATTATCCGCAACGTTTGTTACTTTATCAGCGGCGATCGGCGAAGAAAACGAAGTAAATAAAACATTTTTCATGTGTATCAAACGAAATTTTTTGATGTCATGACATTTGAAAAACAATTAATCTTTTTTTATACAGAACAGTTCGTCCGAGATTAATCAAACTGATGGATTTCTTTCTTCCATCCTTAACGACGAAGATCTCCAACTAATGGATATGGCTATGAATGAAGGTAAGTTTTTCTGTTGATCCGCTTTATTTATCCATGTGGAAAGTTTGAATTTATCCGCGTTTAAATATTCCAACAAATTCTTAAAATACCTAAATTATACAATATAATTACTCATTTTTACCGATAGTAGATTCATTTACTATCAGCTATTTTGTAATTTTCTTCATGCATTCATCCATGAAATTTCTTATTTAAATAACTCTGACCTGATGTAATTTTACATGTGTATATTTCGTTATACACTTCTTTATTTTTACAAAATTTTGGTTTTTCCTTCTCATCAATATTTCAGTTCGATTTTTTTATAAATCTAATTCCCCGTATCGCCGAATACTCGCTTATAACCCATTACAATTTATCTAACATCTATCACGGTTTTTTTTATTTCTTGATGGTTGCTTTTCCCCACTCTCTTTCTTATCGTGCCACCCACCGCCCTTATCCCGAGGGGTAGTGTCTGGCTGCTCGGAACGAGGGTTGAAGTGTAAAGGGGAATGGCAAATTGAACACACAAGCGATTAGGGTTCTCCGTGCAATAGCGGCGAGCAGTCGGTTTTTAAGGGATACGTTTCACAGGGTGATTCTATACGTTTGTATGAAGATTGATCAATTTGATCGATCGAAGTCCCGATTTTTAAAACAAGTAATTTTCTCCAGACAAGATTTAATTCAGTTGCTATTTAAATATTCGACATAGATCAATTTGTCGTTCTTAAATTATTGGTGTATATCCTTATACATTTTTTCCAATTTTTGGTGTATGCGTTCAGAATTCGTATGATGACTGCACAATACACACTGTATAAAATAAAGAATATGGCGGTTGAATATTTCCATTATCCATCATGTGCTATGGCAATGCAATCAGTACCGAGGGCAGAGTAGCAGCGGGGTGTCACCTAGAAAATGAAAAATGGTTTGATGCATGTTCTGCTCCGAACAACCGAACAGCCGCATTCATACCGATCCTACCACTTAAACCGGCGGGCCAATCCACCCTCACCCTAACCGATTGCTCTCATTTCTCATTTTGACTCGAAAGGGTCACAGCGGCGGTCGCGCAGAATTTTCCTTTCATGAATTTCCAATTTCATGTCGCCATTAAGATGGATACTTTTTGCGCTAACGCCGAGCCAACGTATATTTTCGACGAATGGTTCAAGTGTAAAATTTATCTTATTCCACTTCCTCTTTGCAATGTAGTTTTTTTATTGCCATTTTCCAGATCTCTTGGAACTTAACATTTTTAATATTCCTGGCATCTTGTATATTTCCTCTAAAGACTAATATTCACGAGAAGTGCATGCAGGTTTTTAATTATTCTTTTGGGATCTTCCGTGCGTTTAGCAATGTAGGTATTAGTATTAACTGCTTTAGTATTCTTCCGGTGTTCAGAAATATTCAGGTAGGATATCAGAACAAACGAAATTTTTTATTGTGTCTGTGTCTGGGGTTTCATTTCAAAATGGAAGGGTGGTATTAACCAGATGTTATTCGGTGTATTATTCGTTGAATGATCCCCTTCGGAAACAACTCAATGTTACATTCGATTGACTTGTTAAAAAGTCAAATTAAGTTCTTCAACATTCATATGTACATACTTGCAAATCTAATCAAGTGAAATAATAAGTGCGAGCTCCGTTAATTTTCTACTATAACACTACAATAAATTCGACCAAAAATACATAGTTTAATAAGAATAGACCAAGGTCCCGTATTTTGTCATCATGTTAACCTAAAATTAGAAAGAATAGCGTGGTTTTGACAGCGCATCGCACAAATAGTACCTATTACTGATATTAGGAATGCTTCATTACACATTTTAAATCAGAACTGATTTGAATAACACTGTGTCATTCGGTATACAAATGGCGTTAAATTAAAATTGTTAATGATCACATTTTTTAAGCGCGACAATTTCGGTGCGGTTGAAGTTTTTTTTATAAAAATGTAATGTAAATAGTGGTTCTTACCAATGGCTAAAATTAAGAGCAATTATGGCCGAGGCGAATTTGAAGTTTGAACACAATATGGCGCTCAATTTCGGTACATTTCATTTGGTAAGTGTTTATTTGGTTCGAGAATTAATTTATTCCTCCGGTAAACATTGTTAATGAAATATTTACATTCAGTATTTTCGTTGATTCCTTATTAAAGCTTTTAATGGTTTCCTGGTGAAATATACAAGGCTAAAGGGTTGATCGAAATTCACGTTCACATATATTCAATAGGCACTTATTAGATAATTTTTTTACGATAAAGGTTATCAGTAGCATAATCAAAATGTAAGTGGATCGCTTTGTTCTTATACATGGAAAATTTTCTTTTGTTACAATGTTGTACTCCTATTTAAAACATTTACCTACCGCTGTTACAAATAAATACGTGAATAGAATAACATTGATTCAATAATAATATTACATATTCATCGCGTTAATGGGATATTGTGTCCCACACAGTCCATAGGATAATACTCTTGAGAATAAATCCTACTTAAAAAATAAATGCTTACTTGCGGGCTAAGTTTTAGAATTTGCCTTTTTTGTTAAAGAAATGTATATTCAAGCAAGTGTTTACTTTTGCACCTTTTCGGCTGTACTTTTTGTTTTTATCTCTATTATTATCTCAGTTTTATCTAATTAGTTGCATGTGAATTAATTCGTTTTAGTCATCATTGCACTGTTTCTTTAAATTCGTTTAATTATTATGTCTGGGTATGTACTCTTGTATTTTTACATTAAAATATGTGTGAACGTGTTTTCCTTCTTTATATTTCATAAATATTTCGGCGCAAATTCCTGTTACTAATTTTATCCGGGGCGGTAATAAATTTAGTTCTACCTCAATCAGACAAATGAGCACAACTAAAACAAGCTGCTTGGAGTCATCACTATAGTCGGCTGATAAAATCTCGCTGCAATTGGAATAATTCATCGAAAATTTCTGTTTTTATTTCGTTTTTTAATCCTTCCCTGAGTAATTAAGCAGAAATGATAGATAATGTTGATTGAATTTGGAAAAAAATGTAGAAAATATTGATAAGAGATAACTCGATTAAATGTGTTTGGAGGATTTGCTTACGCAAAAATGATGAGGTTCCATTGTAAGTGAAAAAGTTTTGGGAAAGTACATTTTCTCTTTAAATATGGTGCAAGTACAAAAAGCGGAAATGCTTTATAGTTTTGTAGTAATTGAAATGAAGTCAAATAGGGAATTTTAGAAATAACGTTGACTTTAACAAAGTTTCATCATGCGCTTAATTATTACTAAGTACGTTAATCTTTTTGTCTATGCATTTATATCAAATTAAATGGATATTAAAAGAAATGTGACCCTAAGGAAAACTCGTCGAGGTAAAAAAAATCAATTTTTTATTATAAACAAAAAGAAGACGACAATCATTACATGAGTGTTGACATACTTTATGTCGCTGCGGATTATCTTGTGAAAGTAACTGTTATTTTTATCTTATTACTAAATACAAATATGTAACCATCATAACACATAATTGAAAACTTGATATGTTGATTATGCTCAAATAAATCCTAAATATCCTTCATAACAACCCATAATTATAAATTTGTTTACATCAGTAATAATCAAATAACAATTCTTTTAAGTACCTTAGGTTAGGTAACTTGTAAATACGTAAGGACATTAAAAATTATTGTGCTAGAAATACTTTTTTAGCAAATTTTAGCTGTAATTTTAGCAAGATCAATTTGAATTTAATATTTAATTAGTCAAATAATTTTCCAAACCAAATAATAATTTATTTGGTTTATATGATTGATTATGTTTATATGACACATACACATAAGTGCAACTAAGACAACTTCCATTAGTCTCATATAAGGGAAAAAGGAAGGGTCATATTGTTCTTACTCTAACCATTGTTAGTTTAATAATATTTCTTTGTTCAACTCAGAATTGAGTAAATTGCAAACAAACCTGCATTTATATGTGGAACATCCAATTGCGCTCAACTAATTTTCGTCAAAATGACACATTACTCTTGCTAATAATTCAAAACCTATAGCTTGAAAAAAACATACTCTCTCCATGCATAATCTAATTATGGATCTAGTCGAAAATTGTATCGAAATTTTTATAGAATTAAGAAGTATCTTATTGGGGCGTTCTTTCAGGCATGTACACCATGCGAATGTTGGACGGTAATAGCACAGTGAACAACATAGGGCCAAATACCACAAACATAACAATGTCCCGAAATGATATGGAACGCATGGACACTTCCAGCGACAGCGCGGTCAGTTCGATGGGTTCCGAACGCGTTCCATCTTTATCCGACGGGGAATGGGGTGACGGCGGTTCCGATTCTGGACACACTTCCACGGAACACTACGTTACAGACTACACAACGTAAGTGTCTGGAATTCTGTAGAAACTCGCACCTACCTCTTAAAATTTGCAGGAAGCTACGCCCGTACGACTACAGTTACAGCAATCGGCAATTAAACAACGGCATTGGAGGCAACGATAATGCTCGCATTCAACCTGTTGCCCAAAAGAAACATCAAATGTACGGCAAACGATTTTTCCAAGACCACAACTCGTCGAATTCTTCTCAATCGCCAGCGACACCGTTGAAATACGAATACCGAGAGCCGGCTTCTTCGTACAATATTTCGAATCAGTCGGAAGGCGCCGTGGGTCCAAAAGTTCCCGAAATGAAATATTCATGTTCCATGGAGTTCGGACATTTAAACAGAAACCCAGTGAATCACATACAGCATAATCACACCTACCACCTTCCTGCGGAAAGTTCTGGTGTAATGCAGAGGCCTGTTTTGAGGGATAAAAGCAAACAGAAAAAAGTGGAAGACGAACATTTAACGAGAGACGAAAAACGTGCCAGGGCACTCAACGTGCCTATATCTGTCGACGACATTATCAATCTCCCCATGGATGAATATAATGAAAGGTATGTAAACAAAGTGTAAGTCGATTCTCACGTAAAAATATCAACTCTTTTTACCCAATAATAGCGTTAATATTTATTACTAATTATCGATTGTAGGCTCTCGAAATACGATTTGAGCGAAGCCCAATTGAGCCTTATCAGAGACATCAGAAGACGGGGAAAGAATAAAGTCGCCGCGCAGAATTGCAGGAAACGAAAACTCGATCAAATATTGAGCCTTGCGGATGAAGTGAAAGAAATGAAGGACAGAAAATTGAGACTGATCACTGATCACGAATATATCAAAAACGAATGCAGAAGATATCGCGACAAATACCAACAGCTGTACAGACACGTATTTCAGGTATTTAATTAGCTGCGCTTCAAAGTTGTAAGGAAATTTTATTGGTTTGGATTTTGTTTCAGAACTTGCGAGATCCGGACGGCAATCAATATTCTCCTTATCAGTGGAGCCTGCAGACATCTGCTGATGGTTCGATTATTTTGGTTCCTCGATCGAACTCGTCGGTTTCGAGTCAAGACCCTAAAGATCCTTTGCAAAACCACAAAGAACCATAACTTGCTCAACGATTTTAATATTTTAAATTTTTGCTACAGGGTTGATATTTTCGATTTTTTTTATTTTACGGATCATGACGTTTTTACAATTTAATTAACGAAAAATTTTTATTCCAAAATGATAATACATTCCCGAATTCTTCTCGATACGCTAAATTGTGAGAGAGACTAATTCGATATACATACTACTTTTTTGGTTTGAACTTAATCCGACCTTGGCACATTTGATTTTAATGAATTAATTATTCGATTCCATCAAAGGGCTACTCAAAATTGAATTTTTTATTTTATATCAAAATTCAAAATAATTTTACCTTACTTTACAGTTGCATTGATACGCTTCCTAATTTTATTTATTTCATATCAATTTATGAATCAATTTTAAAAATGCAAAGATTTTACTGCATAAAAATGTATGTAATGAAACTTTGTAATTAAACCTTTTTTGGGTAACCCTTTAAGGATCGCTGGCATGATTCAGGGCCCCTCACCCATATTGTTTTCAAATAGATCAATTGTAAAAAAGTATTTTTTTATCCATGATTTATTTTTGTTATTATCGAAAACGTTAAATTTTTTATGTTAAAAATACTACAAAGGATCTTTCGGGTTGAAAAAATTCTTTTGAATTTGATCAATTTTTCATTGCATTTTAGTTATTTCATTTTAAACTGGAATCCAATTAATGTAGCTCTATACTCATTAATTCGGTTCCAACTATAAATATTTAATTTTTAAAACATACAGTTAGTAGAGTGATATAATTGTTATACAACGTAGGTTAAAACTAATTAAATACATACCTTTGTATCACTTTACGTTGCAGGAAAATACAGTTTTTGGAATAAATGCTTGGTGATTGGAATTACGGTGTAAGTACGTCATATAATAATCTATTCACTTTTAAGAAATTTATGAATGACTATCGCAAAATATAACTTAATTAGGTTATTATTTTTTTTTCGTAGTGTAGTTTGTTGTATTTTGACACTTATCGCCACATCATTTTGTTAACTATTTATCCAAAAACTAAGCTTGCAAAGTAAAGAACTTCTTGCATAAATCATCAATAATTACAACTATTTAGTAATTGTGTATTTGTGCAAGAGGTATTTGTATTTCCATACGTATTACTTGGCTAACCTGTTAATGAATCGCTTTGTTTATAATTCATCTTCATAATTAGGTAATTCTAATACACATGTATATTAACTAATAGTAGTGTAAACTGTAAGAATTGTGGTTCTCGTGCAGTTTAAGGCATTAGCTTCAGTTCTACAAACAAAATTTATTTATTGTGTACTTTAAAAATAATATTTCAATTCAGGAAAATATAAAATAATTTAATACTAGAAATGATAAATGAAATATAAGCACTTTCAATTTCAAACATATTTTTGCAGTAAAATGTTTGTGTAACAGGCACACTGTTACATTTATAACATGCGTAAGTTTTATTAGTAGTATGTACTTTCAATACCTGTGAATAATAACTTATGTTGTAGTTAATGGTAGGTATAAGTATAATAACATCTACTTTCGCTTTCAATTTGTGTTACATTTTCCGTCAAAAAGCGATTAATTTAAATTCAATTGAAATGTCCGTAATGTTTTTCAAAAAAATTTCCGTTCAAGTGAATAAAAAAATCCTAAAAATGGAATAGTATAATACCACATATATTTATGCTATGAATTCGGTTTGCTGCTACTTGTTGCAAGCGAGCTGTCAAACATAAGGAAATAAATACAATATATATTTTTTATAACATTGATCAGGTGATGAATATGCCTTTTTCTTAACATTTTAATGTACATATTAATTAAGGTAGAATTAATGATAATTTTATTGTGTCTGACTGGTGTTGGAATGTAGTTATTATAAATTCGTTTGGCCTGATAAGTATAGCAGTGTCAATTTAATGACAAGCACTAGTCATTGGCACAAAAATAAAGAGGTATTTGTTACAAGCACAAGCCTATGAAATACAACGATTTGGTGGAAAATTGCCACTTTTGATTGGAATCTCTGGTATAAATCTGGTATGCTGTTCCAAACTTCCCGCTCATAATTTTGAAATTTCAAATACATTGATAAATATTTGAAATACTCTTTTAAAACATAAAGTAAATATTACGATTGTATAATAAGTTTGAAACATGTTGGAACAATTTAGAATAAAGTAATCAAAATTAAGAGTGTGGCAAAATTATGGAAAAAGATCAGCAAGAAAATCTTATATACTTCTGTACTACCTGTATAATAAGAAGTGAATATGACATTAGGTACTAGCACATACCCCACGTATACTTTAACTTATACCGGACCATCGTTTAATTAACATATTCATTTAGATTAGCTTGGAAAGCTATTAATTTTTATACTTCTCATATAATGCATCAAGTTGTTATAAATTTTTAATGCATAAAACGAGTAATTTCAAAAACCCGTTTTATGTTTTTAATATTTATCAGGTCAAATTATTTAGGCTTAAGAATTCGTATGTGATTTTATCGTTATATTTCATTTATTATTATTGCATAATTAATAACCGTACTTTTATTTGGTAGAAATTGTATGGAAAATCTAAAATCGTTTATTGTAAGCTAGGCTATTTTTTATGAACATTATAGGTTTTGTACATTGTATAGTGTAAGTAGATTAAAAATTTAAATATCTACTTTTGCCTGGTTTTTCTCTTTTTTTGCTAGGGCAATCTTGTTTCTGTCACATTTTTTTACCATAGTAGTTTCCTTGCTATTCTGTATACGTCATGTTAATTTCACATATTCCAGGATATAGGAAAATAAAAAGAATAATTTTTATAGGATTTCTTTACTATTCAAATTTATATTTTAATACAGGATTCTTTTTAATAAAAGTCGTTCCAAATTGTAACAATTATGTAATAACAGGAGAAACATCAAATAGTGAAATGTAACCTTAAAATTAATATTGCAAAACGGAGCAAAAATTCCTTAAAAAATTAACAATTACGTAATATTTACATCTATTATAGTACAAATAACCGAATTCACATTTTACTAATAGTTAAGATTTTTAAAAATATTAGGATGAGTTCGACAACAAATGCATTAATTACATATAACGACTAAACATATAAGAAATATCAATTGAATTAATTAAAAAAAATGCAACGTATTCGTAATTTGTACTCTTAAGAAGAATATACAACTATAAATTAACGTACTTCAAATTTAAAGTCAATAAGCCTATTATCACAAATATATCGATTTATTTACAAGCTTAACAATTTATTAAATAACTTAATTAAAAAAATTAACTCGAAAATAATATATACAATTATTGATCATTGACGGGCGTAAGTATTTTGTTAATCTGGTCTATATATAGGTATTTTAGGTAAAAATTCTATAAGTATTACATATTCCATCATCGAAGACGAATCACAATGCTGTTTACTCAATCTCCAATGCAGTCCTAATTTGTTATATAAGTAACTGTTTTCCCATTCCAGCAGTTTGTTCAATGAATGCTGAGTCTTAAATAAACAAAACATGTCAGGTAAGTTTTTAATAAAAACATGACAAAATTAAATCGAACAAAATTCTCGGCTTGTTTTATTGGAAACTCAGTGCAACTTGATAATTAAATTAGATAGCCAAGGTCATCAAATGAAAATTATAGACTATTTAAAGCTGCAATCTGTAATTTCAAATTTGTTATACGCAGAAAGTTACACCAAAACACTAGGTTGCTAATTAACTACATATGCATGAATTCATGTTACAATAAAACAGAAAGATAATGTAAGATTTTTCCTTTGGCCATTGTTAACCAAGAAAACACTTATAAACAATAGGACTTATAAATATTTGTAACAGAAAACAAATCTGCATACTACATATTCTAATGATTTTAAAAAGGTGGTAACATTGTTCAAGTATTAAGCACTGAGTATTAACTAAACAGTTTTAGATAATTTACTTACTCGTTTACTAAGACATATTACAGGCCATAAGGAGCACCCGAGAGTGCAGCAGCAACAAAGGCATCCGCAAAATAGCCATTTTACGTTAACTGGAAGCGTTTTTTTAAGAATACCGTTTATTCTCATCACTGTTTCTTTGAATTCTTCTGGGGCGACTCTTGAAACTAATCCACTAGGAAATTCTGTATTGAACCTATTGCTTAAACCGAAGCTAAAAATGAACAGGTTTTAAGGTTGTTTGAGTATTATAAATAGGATAAATACTTACACAGTCATGTTACCTGCGCCCCTAATGACAACTGGATCAGGTACCAAAGATACATCCGCTGGAGTATTTTCCTCATTATCTATTTCTTCCTCATAATATATAGCATCAAAACCTTCCATGTGTCTAGAATGAATACAAGTTTTACCTTTGAATACAGAGCACTTTTATTAATTCATTCACCTAAAATTATAAACTAAAAAATTAAGAATCTGTTCTTTAACAAACACTAACAATGGCTTTTTATTATTACTATCTATTTTTTTTTTATTTAACGCTTTGTTTACTTTCTTTATGCCATAACGAAAACGAACTAAACGAGAAATGTCAAACGAACGAACTATCGAAAAGATGAGTTCTGATTTCTACTCTTACGTTCGTTTGTTCTCACTCGAAGTGTACTAGATTTGTTCAAAAATTAGCAAATAACTGATAAATATAAATCAAGTTGTAAAATATTTATTTATATACTTATATACTTTCAAACCAATATTTAAAAACCACAACAGCGATATGGATTTTATGATAGTGTTTTCTAAAAATGCAATTGCATGGTAACAGCAAATTGACTGGGTTCTTTTATTCATGATTTTTTACAACAACATAGGTTAATATATTCATTTGACATTCATTTGCAATTCAAAATGTGTTGAATGTGGGCTTGGGCTTGAATGTGTAGAAAAGACATATATTTACAATTAAATGTTATAATTTGGTAATTGAATTCCAATGTTAAGATTTGCAACATGTATACAAATTTATAATTCTTGAAATTATGATTTTATTTTTCTTATACTGAAAACAGAGACAAAACCCTTTTATCTGATTACTGATTTTTTATAAATTGATACAACAAAACGCACTTTATCTTCTTTTGCTCTGTGGTCTCCGTTACTTCAGGTATACAGTTAAGGACAACTGACATTGATAAAGACTGTCAATAGTGTCAGTGTCAAAAATATAATTAATCAGTTCCAGTTGTCAACATAGACGTCAAGTAATATTTAATTAAAAAAAGCTATATTTTGAGTCGATGAGTAAGAAAATTTTTATTCATAGAGGATATAAATCATAATTTCAGTTAAATTGCACTAATCACTGACTGCTATCATGTCATCTATAAAGCTACAAGACGACATAAATAATATACCTCTGGCAGATGACGATCCTCAAGGTAAAGCCATTCAGGTACCTTTTAAAGTTATTTTACGAATTTAAATGATATTTTAGTCATAATTAACGACGAGCCTGATCAAAATTCAATGTCGGAGGGTAACTCATCTAGTATGATACACGGTAGAAGTATGGATTCTATTCAGTCTACATTTACCAATGGCAGTTCCAGCCCTCAACACCACAGCTTAGAACCAGATTCCAGTCCAGACGAACAAGAGGAAAAAGCCCGTTTAATTTCTCAAGTACTTGAATTGCAAAATACACTTGATGACCTTTCGACAAGAGTAGATTCTGTTAAAGAAGAAAATTTGAAATTAAGGTCAGAAAACCAAGTTCTCGGTCAATACATAGAGAACTTAATGTCTGCATCGAGTGTATTTCAATCTACTTCGCCAAAAATTAAAAAGAAGTAATGTTTACATTGAATAATGATTTTTTTATGAATTTTGTATTTTACACTTGCACTTGCCTGTTTCGTGAGCCTCTGAAGCCTGTGATTATTTGTTATAATTAAGTTATTATTTAATGAAAGATTAGAACTAAGACTCACATTGCCATATTATGTGTTTAAAGAAATAAGAGATTATTAAATAGTGAACATTAGTTGTAGATTGCTTTTTAAGATAAATGACTGCTCTATATTATTTTTCATAGGGCTTATACTGCTGTGGACAACTTGTATATTTTATAATAAATAAAAAATTTTTTGTTCATTTTCTATACTCAAATTAAAGTGGCAAATAAGTCCCCTGATTGACATATTTCTCAGAAATCTTTTCTTGTGTGTTTTTACGTCTTTTCGTTATTACAAGACAAGTAATCCTACACAGTATTTTGTTAGGGCATAAGCTTTTCATCTCTTAAAACTTTTACTCTTTAAAAGTCTTTAAGTATTACTAAATTATATTAGTTATTATCGAATATATTTCTCTTTCTATATCTATTTAGAAGAAAAAAGTAATTAAACTGTTATAAAGGATAAGGGTATTCAGCTTAAATAAATATAACTAAACATAAACAGTATATTAAATAAAAACATAATAGATTCATGAAATGAAACAGTTAAGTTGCAACTGCTGATTGAATGAAGTAAAATGTGAAGAAAAGTATTTAGTATCTTCTAAAAGACTAAAAGTTCAACAACAATAAAGCTTACCTTAAGGTCACTCCAATTTTGATTTACTTACTGTATTACTAAAGGCAGTAAGTATACTTACTAAATTTAAAATTACATTTGTCAAAATTCAAATAATCACGTATTAAAATAGTTTAATTTAAAATACATACATACCAAAGGCACAAGACTCGAGTTATAACAAACTGTATGTTATTAGATGTATTATATTATATTGATGTTAATATATTTTATATTAAAATAAAAACTTTACTGTAGATACATTTGCTTCATAATTAGATTAATAAAATGCTTATAATATAATGCTTTTTGATTTTACAACAATAAAACACTGCAATATAAAAATAAATTATTTATTTAAAAAATTCCCAATATGAGAAACAATTCATATGACTACTAAATCATAACAATCGTTTATAAAGTTAATGTTTTTGGTTAATATATAATTATGAAGTTTATAAGTATATAGTAGGTAATATAAATGGCGAATTCAAAATATGTATTAGTTGTTATTCTTATAAGTAGTTTTCCGTCTCTTAAGCTGGGCATGATACTGAGTATGGAGCAAATATTACAAACTTGACTCATAAAAATATATAAACCAATATTAAATAATTACATACTTTTAAACACAATAATCATTTTGAAAATATGGACTAATATATTGACTAAATATTTCAACAAATATTACAAAAAGAAATTTTAATACAGCCGTCATATTTTACTGCTATTTTATCGTTTTAATACTCAAATTAAAAAAATGGTCAGTAATGATGTTATTAACATGTTCAAAAACCATTAAAAACATATCACATGATTGATAAAAACTATTTAGCGTATCAAAAACTTTTACATAAAACTGCAAAGTTAATATTAATAAAAATATAAAAATAGGTACTCTAACAACATATTTGGCACTTCGGTTTAGGGCAACAAAATTTCATCTTTCCTTTCACTGGTCTTAATAATAAACACCTGATAGTAAATATTTTATTCAGTGCTTTCCTAAATCTCTTTACAAATAACTCGTCGTTAATTCGATTTGAATTGACGTATTGATTCTGCTTCATACAATAACAACAGGGTTCACAAGCCTGTTGATTTATCTGAGCTATAAAACGCCTATAACATTTTTTACATGCACAATCACTCGTATAAACTTTTATCGTTATCGTATTGTTTAGCGAAACCATTGCCTATACCGTGGCTGCTTCGTTTCAACGTTGGTATATCAAAATCATCAGGGAAAAATTTTCGAGCTTTAAGAGTTCCGTGGTGATCGCTGAAGGGGATATTGTTCGAGCTCTGCTTTCTCGGCATTTTATCTCGTCTAGGCACTGGAATATACGGGTTTTCTTTGCTTATGTAATGAGGAGAACTCGGTATAGTATGCTTCTTTTTCTTGAAGTAGTTGTACATGAGGAAGACCACACCAGGAATCATTCCTACTGAAGCACCTAACAAGAAAAACCATATTCCTACCGCTACGCAGCTGTTGGCTTCTAAACTGACGCTGCCCAAAGGAGATATATCTAACGAAAAAAGTACAAATTAGCAATAATTTATACATAAAATATCAACGTTGTATTGTCTAATAGATTTGATTGATAAAATGAAAGCGACGAGGTAGTATAATATGAAAAATGGTGTTACATTTCAAAGAAAAGTTATAGTGACAGTGATAGTTCAATTTAATTAACATTGATAAGATAACTAGTAAGATATATTCTTTTAGTACTTTAACTTTATACACCAAGTGTATAACACTTGAAATATTTTAGCGTCCTTAAAAATGTTGTTCTTGTGTGGGATGTGCCAATTCCTAATATGTAAACCGAAACAAGTCCAACAGGTAAGAAATAATTATTGCCTTTGATTTCTACATATCTTTAAACGGATCATGTGCGCTGAATGTAACAAGAAAAGTATATGGAATGTTTGTTGTTGTACTTAACTGATGATTTTTTTATTTATAAAAGTTTAGTCAAATAAAAACTATATTTTATTGATACAGTAGTTGTTCATCTACACTTACCATTTGAAATATCTCCAAAGCAAATTCTAGTCTCCCAATTTTTCCCTTGACATTGTTGCAAACCCGGATTAGTATGGAAACATCTTCTCTTTCTGTGTTGTTCGTTATTGTTATCGCATAAAGACCATTCTGTCCAGTTACCCCATCCCAAAATTCCTACATTAAAAACATACAATATATAATAAAATAAATTTTTAATAATCCTTAAATCATACCTTCGCAGGGTTGATCTTGACAAGGCTCTTGTTCTCTGGAAGGCCCGTTGCAATTTTGTCCTAAACATGTTCGGGTACGAGTCCTTACTCCCCAACCACAAGAAACATTGCAAGGGGACCATTCCGACCAACAACCCCACGTATCTTCACAACTATGATTGTTGCATTCCTTGGTCTGTGTGGATTCCCCTAGACAGTTCCTTCCTTTTCTACAAGATCTAGTTCGTTTTTGTACTCCTCCCCCACAACTCACTGAACAATCGTTCCAACTGGTCCATGGGGTCCAGCCTAAAAATTCGTTGTCATCGTTATTGCACTGATCATTCGAACAAAATCGTTCTTCTTCCTTGACAGATATCTTTATTTGGTATTGGAACTTGACAGGAGCTTTACAAGTTATTTTGTATCTCTTCCGGTGATTTCCCTTGAAGGATGAATTTGTAACATTGACCCATTCAGTGGTTTGGAATTTTTTAATTTCACTACAAGAATGATCGTTGCATCTTTCATATTCGATGTCGTTTCCTCTACAATGTTGACCACCATTATGAGGTGGGGGATTATCACATTTTCGCTGTCTTATTCTAAAACCACCTCCACACGAAGCTGTGCAGGATGTCCACGGCGACCAAGGGCCCCAACCTCCATCAACTGGCTGCGAAGGACATGGAGGATATTCGGAGCAAAACGCTTCCATTCGATCTTCACCCACGCAAACTCTACCTCCAAAAGCAGGTGCAGGATTTGTACATGTCCTAGTTCTACTTTTAACAGCTGTACCACAGGTAGCTGAACATGCTGACCAGGCGGACCAGTCGGACCATCCTCCATGGATTGTACAGTTTGTAACTGTTATAAATGGACCTATACACTGTTTTCCATTATTGGCAGGCGCGGGATTATTACATTGTCGAGTTTGACACAAGCACTTATCGGAGGAATTAGAATCAGTTAATGTTCTGTGATTGCAAGGGTACCACTCGGACCAATTGCTCCATCCGCCATCGATAGGAGTATTTAGAAGTGGACAGGAAGAAATTACTTGTTTCCAAGATTTATCATGGGGATCTCCCCTAGGTGCTAACGAACAAATTTCTTCTCTATCGTTCCAACCGCAGTATGGATCCATGGCGTTTTGGCAGTTGTCCCACGAGGCATGTCTGCTACAATGATCCACGGAAATTTGCATCAATGCTTGGCTAGTTGTTATGTAAACTGAATTGGTTTCTTTCAGGAATTGCATGTTTTTAATTGGAATATTTGCATCTGGAACAACTTGCCACAGCTCAACTACACACGATTGCTTGTAAGGTGGTAATAAACTTAGTTTTTTAATAATGCCCTGTAGAGTAGCTACGTATATAACATGGACGTTTGTTAATTTTGTTTCGACAATATCAACTGTAATATGAGTAAATCGTTCACCTGTAGCTACATGTAAAGGATCAATACTTGTGGACTGTACTGCAGAATCCATAAGTTGATATTGCAAGGTTTCTAATAAATTAATCTTCCTGTGCGTTGATTCACAATTAAAGTGATCTTTATACGCATTAGTGTGCTTATTCCAAGCACTATCAATGTCTTGTTGATATTTAAAAGGGCCGTCGAAAGCTCTGTTTATTGTTGTCAGATTAAAAGCGCAAATCGCAGATCCTGCTATACTATTTGAAGGGGTACTAAACGTAGCATAGACACTATTTTCGGTAGCAACATATGACATTCCCTGAATTTCGTTAAAATAAAACGGATAATCACCACTTAACGAACAGTTCAAACGAGCTTTTATAAATGTTGAAAAATTGTCTCTAAACATGTGTCCGCCACCTTTATCGTTTTTGCAAACCCTTGCTATTCTTGAATATACACTTTTTCCACAATTCATGTATTCCACAGCTGCTTCACGAAACAGAAAATAAACAAATCTGTCGGTTTCGAAGGAACCGACGAATTGAGGCTCATTAAGCCAGAAACTATCATACTGTTTAGTTCGTAGCACTCTATTATCAACTGATTTTGAGATCAATGAATCAGAGCTGGAAAAATCAGTAGGACCAGCAAAATAGTAGTCCCCATTTTCGGACAAGAATGCAGTGATATTCGCTGCGGGATTATAAGGACTTTTTGCTATCCCATTTTCGAATTTAGTAACATTCGATATGTTGTCGATCTGAAAAAAAATGCTATTTATTAAAAGGAAATTGAAAAGATACACCCTCTTCTTACTTGTCTCCATGAGCATTGTGGAGAAAAGGCGTTAGTGCCGCACGACAAAATTTCTTTTCCGTTACTCAATAATACTTTTATAAAATTATGACATTTTTCATCAGTTTGGCCTTTGTCTATACAGGAAATTCGTTTCTTTTCCGGAGATTCCCAATTCGCGTATTCCAAAAATGTCAATTTAGTTACCGACAGTCGATACAGCCCATCTCTAAATAATTAACAATTAATAAGTTGAACAGTACATAAATAATTACAATGCATTACCTCGCACCTACAAGAATTTGATTTCTTGATATATCGAACAATATTTGCGAATACGATGAGTTTCCTTGAGACTGGAAAGTTGTAACCGAAGATTGAAGATCTAAAGCGAAACATGCAAATTAAATATTAAACATTTAATTAAAGATTTATTTCCTACCTTGGTATGAGATGTATTTAAAATCATTTTGATACGCTACTACTGATGTCACATACAATCCCAAAATGCACACGTGCAACTGGAGAAGTTGGGTAACTCCATTTGATACCATTCTTGCATTTTCTGAAACAAATTTTCCTACTCTCAAACAATGTATTTAATTATATAAATCTCGAATATTAGGCAACTACACTACCTTCTGCTGCTGTCTAATTAAAAAATATCCAAAGACCCATTTAAGGACTGCGTAAAATTAACAAATTTTTCTGCGAGTTTGAAATTAATAAATGTTTGAAGAAATAGCGTAGGATAAGTAGTGTTGTAATAAAATGTATTATAGATATTATTAAAAAAATGCGAGAAACATTAGCAACCTACGATATTAATTATAATGGATTCCAGCATAAATATCGAAAGTTACCTACACAATCTGGAAGTGTCGAGAGTTTGAAAAAGTCTGATCAATTCGTGACGCATTTAACTATAGAGTTAAATCAAAAACCGACTCGGGCATTAATGTTGAAATAAGTAAAGCACGTTTCAACTTACTTGTTTCTGTTTAATTTATGGAACTTTTTCTTTCGATTTTACATTGTGTCTTAATTGTCCTGATCCGCTTAAATTGCAAAATCAAAGAGAAATAAATTATTTCAGCCGGCGCCAGCAAGACGAAATAAAGTAAAACTCTACTATGTAGGTGTATAGACATTTTAGGAAATGTAACAAAAAATCAAAAAGTTGTTCAAGGAAGTATTTTTATTACCTGCTTAACTTTTTGAAACCGATATCATTTTAGGTACGTTTTCAGGTAGATTTCACTGACAACAGAAATTACAGGAAATCAGTTTCAAATCTTCCATGAAATTTTTAAATTAATTGCATTTACGTTTCCTTTATGTAGCTAATGATTTATACTAATTCGAATTAGTACTCTATTTACACAAAATAGCCAACACATGGCATTATTATATTGTTGACATGTATAATTTGTAAGGTGTTAAAAGCAATAATTAATAAATGATTAAGTAAATTGTCACACATTGCATTACAATTTAGTATATAAATAAAACAAAATATATTAGTAAATACGATTTTGATGATTGGAATTGATATTTCAGTGATATTTTACCTACAGATAATTTTATTTCTACATACATACAGTATGTAACAAATGAAAGGAATAAATTCATTATAATAAAATTGGTTGGTTTTTCGAAAAAAACGCTCGAACAGGTCAATTTTGTTTACTAAAAGCGCAATTTTTCAAAAAGAATTTAAGTTTCCTCCACTTACCATTCTTGGGCAGTGACGTCATTGACGATTTTTTAAATAGTAACCCCAATTTTTTTTAAATTCTCTTTTAAATTCTCTTTAACCAATTTCATTACAATAAATTTATTCATTTCATTTGTTACATACTGTATAATAATACAGCACAAGTACTTAAGATTATACCAAAATATAACCTGAAAAAAATTTAAAAATTACATATATCTTCAGTTTTGTAGTCTGAACAAATAGAAAACAACCGATGTGAAATATATACTGATAAAAAGTACCTGTTCTGTGATAACGGAAACTTATACAAATATACTAAAATGCTACTGCGACATTTGTTATTTAGGTATTTTAATTTATTATCACATTAACAATTCTCGCTATAAAGCTATAACAAGAAGTGATAATGTTTACAAATTTTTGCTACACAAAGATGTTAATAATGGACTTACTATTTCGAGAAAGATACATATGTACAATGTACTTTATTACTTTGCAAAATTGTTAAAATTCATTTAATTCTATAATTACTTTACAACGCAGTCTATCTATAAAATCGTAAATGTTTCAAATAAAAATTAATTTATATAATCAGTAAAATCACTATCACTATGTACATACTAGGAATTTGATGAATACCCTATCCCCCTATCACTTACGATTGTTCGTTAATTATTCTTAACAAGTTACACATTTAAAATGTATCTAGAAATATCGTAAGTTTTGAAACACCCTAGATAATTTACGGAGCATGAAATAAAGATTAGAAAAAAACGTGTTTATTTTTAAAATTAATATTGATTCTATTTCATTACGGATCATTAATTTGTAAATGCAGCATGATTATCAAGAAAATATAGTATTATTGATATTGTTGTTGATGTCAATTCGATAAAATCTAGATTAATTATATTTACGTGGTTTTGACATCATTTAAGTGATACATTATTTACTTAGATTAAGAAACAAGCTATTGAAAAAGTTTCTGAAATTATATTTTGCGAAAAAATTAATTTTTTTATCTGGCGTATAAATTTCATATTTGGATTTGTAATTTTGTAATTTGTAATTATGCACTACATCTTCTACTTGAATCATGATTATCATTGCAAAAATACAAGCAAATTTCATTGCCCAATATTTTTTTTAATAAATATTTAATTTTGGGTTAAATGTTCACCTATTTAATCAAATAAATTAGTCAAGAACCTTGATAAATGTTTCTACTTCATAACACGTATTATTTTACAATATATAATTGTTATCTGGGTATGGAGTAATATTTCTTGATATAAGGCATCTCAAAACCCAATCAGTCTGCCAGTAATTTTATACATAAAAAAATATCTAATTGTTAATAAAATATCATTACTAATACGGCAATTTATCACGAATTTAAAAACTATCAAATAATATACAGATCTTGTAGAGCAAGTATTACAATAACAAGTGAGATTGTACTTTTGTAAATTATCATCGAGTTTACTCATATTTAGCAATGAAGAAGATGAAATTGCATTAAAAATTAGTAATTATATATAAATAGAACTGAAAATTATATACATAAAATAATTTTAATAAATTTATTGGTTAAGTGTACTGTTTTAAAATTTTATTTTCGAAATACTGACTTACAACATGCCTAATAATAGCCACAGTGATAATGCTAATGGTGTATACAAATAATAAATTTTCGCAATAATTAACTGGATTTTTTGATAAACACAAGCGAATTTAACGACTATACCTACGTATATTTTGGCACGTATTACAGTGAAAATGCACCTAGTACCTAATTGAATTTTTTCGTTATGATTTATGTACGATGTATGATTTTATGGACTTATAATTAACGGATTACTTAATTCCGCGCATTTAACATCATTTTAAATCATAAATCAATATAATTATTTATTTTATTATTCGATATTTACTAAACTATAAGAAATATTAAACAATGAGGTATATTAATTTTTATTATTAATATATTTATTAATATATAAACATGCTCACATGTGTAAATGAATCAAAAATAATGTTGTAAAAAACCATACAAAAATATGTATGTATTTAAAAATATGTTTTACTTACATACTGCTTCAAAATGCTCTGTCATGATTTTGGCAAGGAGACCCATTTCTTCAATTTATTTATTTTACCAGTAATTTGTGCATTTAGGGAGAAAATTGACACTTGGTATATATTCTGAGCTTTCATAATATTTTCTTGGTTCAATCTTAACGGATGATAACCGAGTTTACTTAGAACTCAGAACCTATATCATTTTTGTACTATCTCACTGCCATGTATGTTTAAAGATTTAAGGTAAATGTTTATTGTACATATGTATGTACGTACGTACATACATCTTCTATTTTAGATACTAAAAATAAAATTGTGTATTACTAATATATATTACTTTCATGATTTAAGAGTTTTCATTTATCTTTACCTATCGAATTTCGATAAGTACCTATACACACCTAAATATTCCAAAGACTGTATTAATTATCCACAACTGCTATTTAATGTATAGGTATGTTATTATAATACACAGGTAAATTGACTTATTGATTCGGTTAAATTTATTTTATTAAGGTATATGACCTTTATATTTTTTAAACTCTAGCGGAATATGAAGCACGTATGTTTCGAATATCCGGTATAAATCTTAGTACGCATATAAAATTGTTCATGTAAAATGTGCTACCAATTTAAAAACTTCGAGCGATATATTTGAGAATATTGCAGAAACAATGAAGGGGAGGAAACGTGAAACGACAAAGAAAAATAGAACCAGCTAAAAATTCTGCATATAATTTTATGAAAACTAAACAATTAATTTGAACTTAACAAAGACCTATTAATTTTAAATCGCATAGTTATTATTAACCTATCGATTTTGTCCATCCCCTTTTAAATAATTCATCACCTACATTTAGAAAGTTTATTTTAAAATATGCATAATTAGAAACAGTACTTCGACTTTGTTTTAATTACCTATACGTTTGTCTCAGCGTATCCATGCGCTTTACATTGCCCACATTAAAATTCCATTAGGTCTTGATACTTAATTTTCTTAAATTATTGTTCTTCCTACAAAAGTATTTTAAGTATGCGTGTCAGAGCAGAGATACGAACTTTTTAAATCAAGTTTTTAAATCACGAATGATAATTAATTTATACACCGAGAAAAATATCTTGCAGCCGTTATACAAAATTGTATAACAATTAACAGATTTCAGAATTGAATAGGCGCCAGCTAAGCTCCTGTTTTACTGCTATACAGGACTTTATTTCAAAAAACTTGTATTGTAATGCCAAGCAGTCATTTAAAAATGAAATTATGTAATTTTTGTGATTATTGGTTTTTCTTGTAATGTTTAAATGATTAACATTTAATCGGTATAATGTTATCATTTTATGAATATATTGGCATCCAATATTGGGGAAATCTGACTATCTTGTGATTAAAAGAAACTTGTATATGAACAAAATGATGCCTGTTTTAGTTTTAAAGGATTACCATTAATGATTAAATTGTCCGCTATTATTATTAAAAAAAACTTGTATAAAGATAAAATGAAAACAATATTATATTTAAATTGACATCTAAAATGTCACTTTATTTTTGTTAAAAGAAACTTGTATATAAATCAAACTTTATCATCAAAACGTTCCAATCAAAATTCGAGGGACCTCTGCTTTATTCAAGGGACTTGATGTTTTGATTTCAAACGTGCCCACACTACTTCCTTCCAAAATAGGTACCAGGTCTTGATCAGGCTCAACATTTTTTTCCATCACTTACTACAGTGAATGAGTTATTACGCGTAGTATTCCTT